TGGGGAAGGCTGAAATACACAATCTCACTAACACAAGTGTTCATTTCTAGTGCATATATGCAAGACCCAGGGCTTTTTTTTGTCATAGAACACACCAGAACAGTGTTCCGGCACCTTTTTTTCCATGGATTTTACGAAGTGATTTTGGCATAGCAGATCAGCAGCAAACATCAGGCAGGCTGCTATTGTGTCTGCGATCTGCTATCTGATAGTGAGAGATAGCTGCTCCAGACGCTGCTCTGCTGCTCGGCTTGGGATTGGTGTGTGTGCTTACTGCTGGCGGTGATGTGAGTTCCGGCACCTTTTTTTTTTTTTTTACAAAAAAAGCACTGGCAAGAAATGTCCTAAAGGGCACTGAAGAATTAGCTTGTGCATGTGTTTGTATGCATGTATGTAAAGAAACATGACTCCATTCTGTCTTGTTGCAAATGAACAATTTAATATTTGGCTAAAGTCCAGAATAGTGCTTTAGGCATACTGATGAGATACCTGCTTTCAGAGCCTTTCTTCATCTCTCAAGAATCAAAAGCAGTGAATCGTGTACAGGGAGTTTCTGCTTGAAACTGCCACATCAGTTCTTGTGGAGCTTGGGCAGGCCACCGAAGTACTGGACTAGCTGGACCTTGGGTCTGAACCAGCATGGCTTTACTTATGCACTTATGAAAAGAGGAACATTAAAAGCAATACTAGAAACACAGTTCTATGCATGTTCATAGAGAAAGCAGCTCTAAAACTCAAAGCAGGGAATTGGGAGTTAAAGGACTTTTTTCTGTCTAAAACCGCACAGGATTGCACTTTCATTTGACAGCTGTCAAAACAAAGATTTATTGTCTTTAAATCTATCTAATGAATTTGAGCATCACATCTGTCAGATGGGTTTTTAAAAATCATTTCTTTTGACAACTATCAGAGGTAAGTGCTTGTGAAAAATTGATATGTAGAGTTCCCCCTTTCTGGAGTACCTAAAGGATTATACCAGTGTGGACAAATGGAATCAGCTGAGAACTGTCAGGGTAATACATAAAAACTAGAGGAGCACAATATTAAGGGGACTCACTACACACTATTACTCACTACGACCTTTCAGGACAGAACTGCCTTCACTGCTTTGCTTTCCAGTTGATAGCTCACCAACTGGCAGCTATCAGGTGTGAGCAAACCTATATGCAGTTGCACTTGGATAATGTCCGTAGATATTACCTACTGCATTTTGGCGACAGATATTTACCAAGATATAGGAAGTCAAGACTCCATATTTCTGCAAAGGACTGAATTGTATTTTTAAAAAACCTGTCTGAATTGTGTGCACCTCTGCTGGCCCTCACAAAAAAAAAAAAAAAAAAAGGCTAACAAGTTGGTGATATTCCCTCTGAAATGCTGTTTAAACCTAAGTTAAGCTTCTCACAAGCTGTAATGGCATTGGTCTGCATCAAGGGTTCAACAACCACTGAAACAAGCCACTCTGTTGGGATGTTTAGATGATACAGCCAGCCTCTGCACCTAGTTACACATGATGGGTCACCCTGTCATGTGAACCTAGTCATACAGTCAGAACTGAATGAAGTTCACATTCCTTGCATACAAAAATCCACTCCTTCACATAACTCACCCTGCTACTGTTAAACAACTGGGATTCAGAAATCTTGGACATGCTAGGGATTGAACCTGGGACCTTTAGTGTGCAGAATATATTTTTGTCTCTGAGGTACAGTTCTGCCCCACGCATTACCGTGTTTGTTTGTTTAAATAGTGCTTTTGAAACAAATACATGTAAGATTCAAAAGGACTGATGAGTTTCTAGAATTCCTGTACAGAAAGTAACTCTTCATCCTCCATTTGCAAAGTAAGAGGTAGCTAGGAAGCCCTGTCACTACAAGAGGATGGACTTGCCAATCCTTAATGTCTCATCCAACTTAAATTCCTTTGTACTTCAGGTATAGCTCAGGAAAATGCTTTGTTCGATGTGTAAAACAGAAACAAACATTCAAGGGCAATATGGTGTTTGTAATTGCCTGCACACTAACTGTAATATCTTTGTGCTTTTTTTTTTAGGATCCACAAACCTCAAGAACTTTGACACTGATTTCCAAGACGATACAAACATTAGGCAGTTTATCGAAATCTAAGTCTGTAAGAATTTCTGATTCCTTTTTCTGCTGTTCTGGGTAACTTTGGCACTTCACCCCTTTTATGTTAGTACAGTCATTAAACATTTGGGCCACAATCCTTGCATTGATGGACACAACACCCATGTACAGAAGGATATTTACAGGGAATGATAAAGTCCTGTGTTCTCTCTTTTCATGTCACTATATGTGTAAGCACTGCATCAGGCTGCTACAGGGAATTCTGAGCTTGCAAGTGCATCCCATATCCTCAATTTCATTCATGGTTGCTTGTCACATGACTTTCAAAGTTTCTGTTCACTTGTCATGGAAGGGATGCAGAAAATAATAGGTGTTCAGTTATTCAGAAGCTAGCGAATGTTCCCTGGGCTAGCTAAATAAGAGCTGATTCACACAAGAACTCAGTATTGCCAACACTTCCCAGCTGGGAATGACATTTTCCAGTTGTGTTCAAATTGTGTGATGCATTGGTATATCCAATAATGGAGAAGGCCAGATTTAAAAACAAAAAACCCCCCATGATTGGGAAGAGAAAACTGCCAAAAAAGAAAAGGGAGAAAAAGGGTGATTCCCACTTGCATGAATTGTGGTCTTGAGCCTCAGTCTCCTCTACCAAGCCTTAATTGTCATTTTAAAACAAATGGCTAATTTGAATTGTTTCCAGGCTTTAAAAAGAAATACCTTGATTAGAGGACTTTGCACATGAACCAATGCTTCTGAAGTGTTTCTAGGATGCTCAGCATAAGCCAGAAGGAATCAGTTTTCAAGGCACTTCAAATACTAAACATTATCTGTGAATGAATGAATGAATGAATGAATGTTTTTTTCTGCTGACTTGCTAGTTTGATCTTATGTAACACTGCAAGCTAAACACCTGCTGGTGGTTGCATTTCAGGCCAGTTTCAAGGAATCTTATATGGCTATATTTTATGACTACTTTAATGAGCAGAAATATGCAGATGCAGTAAAAAATGTAAGTATTATCAACAATATTTTATATATTTCATTAGTTCAATAGTGTGTACTGATACAATAAATACATAGTTATGTGCATATTCTGAATAATCACCTAAAACTGAAATAACAATGGAGGAGGTGGGAGGTTTTACTCCCTTCAGCAGGCCTCTTTAGAACTGCTGTAAACAATGTTGGGGAAAAGCACCTTTGGGGCAATTAATTCAGTGATTCAGAGGTATGGCAGAGGAGGAAGGTTGATTATATATGCTTAGGACATAGTTACTCCTCCATCTCCAGAATTTGGTAACCACTGGAGGGCCATTATGCTTTTAGATACTATAGACCAGCCTTCCCCAGTTTAATGCAACTCAGATGCTTGGACCTCAGCCCTGATCAGCCTCATACAGCATGGTTAATTACCAGGGATGCTGGAAATTGTAGCCCCAAACATCTGGAGGGTGATAAGATAGGGAAAGCTGCTTTAGATCATCTCTGACCAGTGTTGGAAGCAGCTGTTGTACCAGCAGCAACCGCAACCACAGAAGAATTTTTAAAGAAGCTTTCAGTGTGAGATCAATGTAAGAGGAAAATTATCTGTTTCTTTGAATATGGGCAGAGTTGATGTAAATTATAAGAGCCAGTGAAATATGGAGGCCCAAGTTACCTCTCTTATTAAATTTAAACATGGAACTTTATATTTGATTTACTTGAAAAAAAGCTTTTAATATTTCTTCTTTGTCATTATGTAGTAAATAAATAACTTTTGTAAACTTGTACTTTATCAGTGCTACTGATAGGTAACAATATGAGACAGGTGCTAAAACCTTATTTCATATATATTCATTGTTTTCACATTCAAGTTCTTAGATTTGATTTCATCCTCTGGAAGAAGAGATCACAAGAGAATAGAACAGCCAATATTACTAAAAGAAGGGTGAGAATATATCCATGTTTTATTTTGGTTATAAGGCATACAAAAGTGGTATTTAAGGCATCTGCTTGAAACTATGTAACAAGTGAAGTATCACAGAGTTCAGTCCTATCTTATATATATATATATATATCCTATAAAAACTTGAAGGGGAAATAGAATATGCATTTCTAAAAACTGCAGATGCTACCAAATTGGAAGGAACAACAAATATCTTAGAGGTAGGATCATAATTTAAAATGCAAGCAGTTTTTCATCCAGAAATATCTCCTGAGTTATAAAACACTACATAGAACTGAGTTCAGGGGAGAAAACCTGCCTGTTTCTAACTGCAATAAGTTTTAATAATACCCCTGCCCCTTAAAAGTTTATTCTTTTTAAAATCATTTGTAATTGGCTTTGCTTTTTAAAATAACTGTTTATGATTTTATAACCACCTCCTCTAAACTCTTAACTGTGTCATTTCTGCACCTGTCTTTCTTTGTCTTCTATCTGATTTTTTTCTGTCTCTTCTTGCTTGGCCTGCTGTGTTAAGGACTCTTAAACTAACAGTAAAGAAAGTTGATGATAATAGTACATGCAGGTAAGATGGTAGAGTCAGTTGGCATCTAGCCATAGCTATCTGCCAACAGTGTGCCCTCCCTTCATATCAAGACAGCGTGTTTGACTTGATTTTGGGAAAAGGAAGTAAACTGCAGTCATCTACACAGTGTGGCTGAAAAATGATGGGGGTTTTTTGCACTGAACTTCACCAATAGCTATTGAACACACAGAAGAGCTTAAAACATTTGGTTACAAGTTCTGAAAATGCCATTCACTTATTTAGAAATACATGGAAGATGTTAAGTCCAGTATGAGTTGTAACTATCAATAATTCTCAAGATTAAATGGATGGGGCTCATTGGAGAAAATTTGTTGACAAACCTATAATTTGGCTTTCTTCTAGAGTAATTGTTTGTGTGGTTAGTATGGTTTCTGTGTGCCTTTTCTTCTCTGCCTGTTTTCATACCAAAGGGGAGAAGGCCAGTAATTTTGTATACAGTCAAAGCAGTACATTGATATGTAATGCCTGAAATATTTGTGGCTTCTCTTCTTCTTTTGCTGTGCTGGCACAGTGTAGGCCTCAGCCGCTCAGCAAATGGCTTGTTGCCTATCTGATTCATTTCAGAAGCAAGAGAACAAAAAGCAAGTTTCTCCTACCATTCTTTTGTAAGGCAATACTTATTTTTAGAAAATTTCCTCCACATAAGTCTTAGGAGGTAATAGAATAACTAGCTATCCGGTTATTCCAAATGCAGTTCCGTTTTAAGCTATTACTAAAACAACCACCACTGCCACCAACAAAATATTGTCCTTGCAATATTTGAATGGGAATTTCATTGGAAGACATATAACATGCTAGAAAATTAGCATAAAGTTGGGAGTAGAGCTATGGCTATCCCACAGATGGAACTAGCAGAAGTGTTCAGACAAGAGGTATCTTCAGCTTTCTCCAACAGCTTGTTTCAATCCATGTTAAAATTCTGTCTCCTTCTATGCCCTCTCTCTCCAGCAGCAGGCAATTTTCTAGTAATGTAGTCTTGGCTCTCCTTTAATCCAAAGTTTTACAGATCTATTTAAATGTCCTTAGAATTGTGGTTCTTGTCATTTCTCAGTCCTGTGACCACAGAGTCATTGGATTTAAGCTCTGAGGTCTGCTTATAAGTTTCCTAACTCTCAGTTTATGCCAACTTCTCCTTAGAAGCTATGTTAAATATGCATGCTTTACAGGATCCTAATGTCTCAGTTTCCCTTAGAGTTGTGGGTACTCTTTTCATACCTGTAGTGACAAATTACCTGTGAGATGCCCTTGCTTCCCAATGCTACACCAGAATCCTCTGAGATTCAGAATCATTATTCTTTGGGGATCAGATACACATGGCATAAAAATGTAGGCAGGACTTAAGATGCTTCTTTGGAAACTTATAAAAACCTGATCTTTAACATCTTCTAGAAATGCTTTAAATGTTCAGGGGTTTTTTTAGGTTTTTGTAGACAAAGTTTAGTCCATTCTTGGAGCTGGGAACCTTCAAGTGTTGCATTTTGTCAGTGTGCTGCATAGTTCAATTGAAGCATTTTGGTTTTTAAGCAGTTGGTGTACTATCTTTAATTATTTCAAACCCAATTTTTGTCTAAGAAATACCTGCTTGTATGATTTTTTTTTAAATGGAGATTTAATCTGATTCTTGGCACATCCAACTTAAAAAAATAAGAACTAAAACATCCTGACACTGGTTGCAACATGTTTGGAGATATAACTGAGTGTATTGCAAAGTTAATTTCTTACTTTTCCTTTAATGATCCACTATCATTTTGTAATTCAGCAAAGACCCTTTTGAAAATGCCATGAAACTTCTTACCAGATAAAAATGACCTGTGCAACAAATGTGCATTACAACCCATATCCTTTTGTCCATTAATGAAATTTACATACTTCTAGAGTATATTTGCACTTCAACAGGAAGAACTCTGACTACCAAACACACATTATGTAGTGACTGGGAATTTCTTTCAAAATGAATCAGATAACAGATCCATAGAGGTCATTCATATTATTTGATTTGTTATATATTCTGCTTGCAGAAGGCAAGCCTCCCATTGAAACATAAACAGAGCAAGTCAGAAGGGGCCTCCCGGGCCATCTAGTCTGACCCCTGGCTTCAGCCGGCTCCGCTCACGACATGCCCACCATGTGCACGTCAGGCCTATCCTTGAACACCCTCACCGATGGGGCCTCAATGACCTCTTGTGGAAGCCCATTCCACACCCTCGGGGTCCTAACTGTCAGGAAGTGCTTCCTGCCATCCAAATGGAACCTTGGCTCCCTGAGCTTTGCTCCGTTGGAGCGCATCCTGCCTTCCTCTGCAGGGAGAACAGGTCTCTACCCATCTCCGTGTGACATCCCCTCACATACCTGTATGTTGCCAGCATATCCCCTCTGAGTCTCCTCCAGGCTGAAGAGACCCAGTTCTCCCAGTCTCGCCTCATACCCCATCCCCTACAAACCGGCCACCAACCTTGTGGCCCTACGCTGCACTGACTCTAACCTGGCTATATCCTTTCTGTAATGAGGGGCCCAAAACTGAGCACAATACTCCAGTTGTGGGTGCACCAGAGTCATATAGAGTGGTAGTAATACCTCTCTCGATCTAGAAGCCACACTTCTGGCTATGCAACCAAGGGTGGCGTTCGCCCTCTTGACCACCGCATCTCACTGCTGACTCATGTTTAGACTGCAGTCAACCAGTACCCCAAGGTCCCTTTCACAAGTGCTGCTCTCCAGCCACTTGTCCCCTAACCTGTACTTAGGACGCCTATTCCTATGCCCCAAGTGCAAGACCTTGCACTTACCCACATTGACGCCATCCTGTTGTCTCCTGCCCACTTCCATAGTCTGTCCAGATCCTTTTGGATCTGGAGTACCTGCTCCTCAGTTGTGGCCACTGCTCCAGTTTTAGTATCATCTGCGAATTTGATCAGCAGACTGTTCACCCCTTCTTCCATGTCATTTATGAAAAGATTAAGCAGGATTGGCCCCAGGACAGAGCCCTAGGGGACCCCGCTTGTCACTGGCCGCCATCCTGATGATTCCTCGCTAATGGTTACCCTCTGCTTTTGGTCAGTCAACCATGCCCTAATCCACCCAACAGTGCTTTGGTGTATCCCAGAACTCCTCAGTTTCTCCACCAGGATATCATGGGGCATTTTGTCAAAGGCCTTGCTGAAATCCAGGTAAACCACATCCACTGCATCCCCTCCATCTAGCCATCTCAAAACCTTGTCATAGAATTCCAGAAGGTTTGTCTGGCAGGACCTGTTTTTGCGGAAGCCAAAGACTCAAGGGATTGTTTGCTTACAAGGGGCTGGTTTTTGGGGGGAGGGGGTGTTTGGGTTTGGCAAACAGCACCCTTTCCCAGCAAAATCTTTTTCCTTTCACTTTGTTCTCCTTGGGCGAGAAACATTTCCTCTGTGAACTTGGGGAAGGTTCAGGTTCTCTTCCCCAATCTTTTGAAAGAAAGCTGAACTGTAAAACTCATTGAACAGTCCAGGGGCATCTTGGAGAAGCAGCCCATGCATGCAAGACATAGCAGCCCATGGATAATAACAGTTGTGGTGGCTGAGTTATCTTATACACATAAAAAAGCCATACGGGTTCAGACCCGAGAGCCACCCAGTTCAGCATTTGGTTTACACATAACAAGCCAGCTATCTACAGGATTGCACAGGCAGGATATGAGAGCAATGGCACCCTCCTGCCCAAGAACCTAGGCATACTGCCTCTGATGCTTGCAGAGCCAGGAACAGAATAATGTATGTACAGAATCACTTGCTTGAACGTTTTCCCATGTCAGCATCTTTCAAAGGAAAGGCTTCTAGTTAACCTCCTGTGCCAAGTTTGCAATGAGAGTGCTCTCATTCAAAAATAGTTTTATGGAGATAGGAGGACCAGGTATCCTGCTTTACAAACGAGAGGAATAGCTGTCAGAGGACAGTCCGGTTTCAAAAAGTAGCATGAGAAGGGAGATCAGGGGCTGTGAAGTCATCCCTCAGAATTTAGGATCAGGACAGCAGAGCTGAACAGGCACACAGGTCACCTCACAACTGTGATATGTATCAGATTTTTATTTATAGTTATGTTTTCTAAATATATCTCAGTCCATGAAAATCAGCATATGCAAGTTTTGTGGAAATCTGATCCTTTTTCATCCTCTATATTTGTCATGCATCTCCACCTTTTTCTAATGATGCATAAATGGTCAGCCTATATGAAAGAGTGATTTGCTCAATTGGGCTACAATTGAGGCCTAAACTCTTCTTAAAACTAGACTGAGTTAGCTCTTATTGATCCTGTTTGCTCAACATGACACATTATCATTAATTAAATGCATATATAGTGCATGCAGTCACCATTTTAAATATGCAGCCTTCACTTGGGGGTTGTGACAAGTTGTGTGAACCAAACCACTGTGGGCTATTTGAGAGCAGAACAGCCCTCACATAACTTTAATTAGTAGTAGATTTATTGAACCGTTGAATAATCTATGATGGATGTGTTTGCATAACATGGTACAATTCCTAATTGTCCTGATTGCGGGTTGCATATTCAGAATATTAGCAACACACAACCACAGCATGATATGGTCCAGCCATATCATGTGAACCAGCTAGCTAAACTCATTCCGTTCTATGCATTTTTATTTTTACATACTTCTCAGTGATTACTTGTCTTTGAGGAGATATTTTCTTGCTCACTAATAGATCTTACACTTTTTTAATGTTGCTATGATTTCATTTGCAATAGGTTCATGATCAAAAGGGCACAAGGTAGGAAACGATTTGGTATGAAGAACTTCAAGAGGAGATGGTTTCGACTCACTAACCATGAATTTACATATCAGAAAAGCAAAGGTACTAGTTTTTGCCACCCTTTTAATTTAAAAACTACTGTTATTCACATCCAAAACTTTCAGAAACTGAAAACTGCATCAAAGAATCATAGTTGCAGTGAACTCCCCATAGACTATCCAGCTACCATAAAGTGTTATGATGTATCAATGGTATGAAATTAGGGGAGTTTTGTATTTGGTTCTTCTGTATAATAGAAAGGGATGATGCCTCCTTTCAATGTATTTTCAGTGTGATATAGTATGCAATTCATTTTTTATGTTATTAAATTTAACTTGGAGTATTACAGTGCATGCCTGTAAAAGCCTCAAACTGAGCTTTTACCTCTTGCAGTTCTATGTCATTCCACTGAATGTCATGGAATCCCTGTTTGAAGATCAGTGCAATGAAATCATGGGGCATTTTAAAGTAATCTGTCTTTCTGCAATTGCCCACTGTAGGCGATCATCCTCTGTGCAGCATTCCAATTGAAAACATTTTGGCAGTAGAAAAATTGGAAGAGGAGTCCTTCAAAATGAAAAATGTAAGCAGCTTGCCTCTCCTCCCTCGTTTCATCTCTAGGAATTCTGTCTTGATTAATATCCATTTACAGCCATTTCTGTACAGAACATGCATTTCTAAATTCAGTGTCTGGGGGATATTGTTCTATTTCTGAGAACATATCCATAGCTACCTTAGCAGTAACTGGTGGATAATCTGAAACACAATGTATTGATGGAAGTACAGAATGGCTGTTTTTGTTCTCACATAGAATATCTGAACTTTATATCATTGTTTCTTTAAAATGTGTTGATTCATAATTTCAGTGCTTGTTTCCCTGTGATCAAATTATTTACTCTTGGAGGGCAAAGATACTGTAACATGGTGCAGATGAGTTGCAAAAAATTAAGAACAATCTTATGTGGTTATTTTGAATGAATTCATAGCAAGTGATTTGGTTGTACACACAGCTATGTGTATGCACACATAAATTATGGGTAACACATTCATGCCTGCATACTTTTTGCATCTTGTTTTACATGAAAGCTGGGATATACATTTCTTAAAGGTTATTAAAAATAAATATTAGTAAAATGAATCAGGAGTGGCGTTTTTAGCTAAGGTGAGGTGTAAAAAGAAAAGCATTCTGTCATTATAAGCTTTAACAACGACACCTGCAGAGCGATTATCTTAAAACTAGGCATCTATATTCTACCTAATGATATCTGCAATCATGCAAAGATTCAAACTGATCCAATAGAAATTTTCACATAAATAGGTTAAAAAGTGCTGAAAATTGTAATTGTGGGGAAAGCTAATGATACACTTTATTTATGCTTTAAACCAAGCTTCAATTTAAACATTATCAAGGTTTTCCTACCCTGTGAAAGCTTATAAACAGCTACTTCTAGCAAAGTTGTGGCATGCTCAGTTTCAGTCTGTAGTTAGAATGGTGCCAGTAAACACCAGTGTTTTGAAATCCATCATTCCTGTCAGCATTCTGACAGTAGGATCAGGATAGCAGGGGACTGACAAGGTCATTTCGAAAGCTGAGGGAGTTGCTCTTCCTGATGAAGGGGAAGAAAGAAAAACCTTTCCTGGAATCCTGTGCAGGCTTACTTAGAAGTAAGATTTTTGAACATTGAGGAACATAAGTATTCAGTTATATTCTTTGAATGACTTGCTTGTCTTAGTTTGTGTTTTGTTTTTTCAAAACACTGTAATAACACATTTCCTTTTCAAGAACCAGGAAAATTCACTGGTCAAAAAATCTGCACATTTAAGTCCAGAGTTAACACTTTCTCGTATTGGCTCAAGTTCCAGAAACACAGGGAACTGGAAGCGTAGGCTGATACCTTCACAGGCATGTCCTGGGTTCAGTATGAATGCTGTATAGTGTCACAATTTATATTTGCTTACAAGCAACAAACAGGCTTGGGTTAATTCAGAAGAGGGTTTCTCTAGCAGTATGGTAAAGTTCCGATGCTTCATAAGGCAATGCAGGACTTAGACAAGGTGGGGCACCTTCACTCATCCACCCCATCTGAGTTTGGGCCTGAAGGACCCAGGATATTGCAGGCATGTGGTGGTTAGTTGTCAGCCACCAGAGTTTGTGACCAATACTGGTCATGGAGCACATATTTTCAGTTACCAGCTGAAGCTTCCAGTTTCCAGTATTTCTGGAGCTTGAGACAACTTAGGTCTTAAATCTGTAGATTTATGGATCATTGAATAAATAACACAAATGTGTGTATGCCCACACACGAAATTACATTATAATGTGTGAGTAAATGGAAGAGCAGAACTTTCTGTGCTAAAATCTGACTTATGAAATACGTAATGTTGGTGCTATTTTAGATTCTATTAAACCAATTTATAAGTTTTCTAATTCACACTAGGTTTTTAGCATTTAAAAATATTGTGATTGTTTATATTAGCATATAAAGGTATGGGACATATATTTCAAATAAATGTAATAAAAAGAAAGTGCATTCCCAAACATCCAGTAATTATAGATGAAGAAACTGAGGTACATTTTGTGCTAAATTGGGTTTGGGCTGGATGGAGCATCACATCCACCGGTCCTTACCAGCAGCTGCAGAGTAAGTTAGGCTGTTATAGTACAGGAACCTTGGTAGGTCTGCCAATTATCTTTGTAGTCCCACCTGCCTTTACAGATGGAAGCTATCTAATTTTAACCTTGGAACAAGCCTTTGAGGTCGTTTATGCTAACTGGTCCAGAGTCATCCACCCAGCTTCATGGCTAAACAAAGATATAAACCTATAAACAAAGATATAAACCTACAATCTCTTAGTCTGAGCTTGTAGCCTAATTCACTGACTATATATGTATCTCAATCAGGCTTCTTGGTTAATGCTAGAGTTGAAGTGGACTAGCACATTATCCATTAGTTATTTCCCTTACCTGCTCCTTAAGATCTGGGGTGGAGGCCCTTCTTCAGGAGTCCTCATTGAAGGAGATTAGGAGGGTGGCTACCTGGAGAAGGGCCTTCTCTGCAGTGGCCCCCTGGTTATAGAATAACTAAATAAATTAATCTTTCTCCCTACCTTTCAGATGTTCCAAGTGATTCAGCCTGAAAGAGTCTTGTACATCCAAGCAAATAACTGTGTTGAGGCAAAGGACTGGATTGATATCCTCACCAAAGTTAGCCAGTGTAATAAGAAACGCCTCACGGTCTACCACCCTTCTGCGTACCTTAATGGGCACTGGCTGTGCTGCAAAGCTACAGCAGATAATACTCCTGGCTGTACTCCCTGCACTGGGTAAGGCCTTTCTAGATTGTTTCCTGTTCTAAATTTTCCTGTGAGCAAGTTGATGATGAAATCTGTAGCCTGCAGATGATTAAAGATTGAACACTGATGCTTAGTGATGCAAAGGAACATCTGTATTAAAATGCAATAAAGCACTGCCTAGTTTTCTCAGTCCACTTTTCCCATGCATCAAATGCACACCTAGGAGCTTTCAAATATAAGACTTTTGTACAAATCTTGCTCTTAATATAGCAGCATTACAGCTACAGTGTCAATTGAGTTAATGCATCACTTAATCTTAAAAATCTTTTTAACAACTATTGTATGGCCCCAAATATTAGGGAAATGATTTAAAACTATTAAAATTATTTTTTGCATACAGTTACTTAGAAAAACTGCTTCCAGCAGACACTGTCTTCGAAGAGATAATCTCTCTTTCACAAAAGATAGTGTCTGCACTGCGCATCATCTAAACACAAAGAAAGGGGCGTTTGTTCCAAAGTACTGGCTTATTCATTTGCATATTTATGCATATTGAATTGATTAAACTGATTGATCAGCTAAATCTCCATGAGTGGCTGAAAATCTAAAGTGAACAAAAGTTTACCATCTGCCTGCACATGGCACATTATTTTTCAAACAAAATGCATACATGTATGCTTTACAAAACCTCTTCTGTTTAACTGTGCTATTCTCTGAGGATAGTTCATTTATCACATTTAATAAAACTGTATGTTTGAGGAGGATTATACTACCATAACTTATTGTTTCATTTTGGAGTCTTTTTCTCCAGTTAATCAAAACCCCTTTAAAACTACAGTGGAAAAAATATATAATTGCAAAGTCTCTTAACATTATCTAAATGATTCTGTAGGGGCCTGCCAGCAAATATACAATTAGACATAGATGGAGACAGAGAAACGGAACGCATCTATTCATTATTCAATTTGTATATGGCTAAACTGGAAAAAATGCAAGGTGGGTATGCAAAGAAATTATTCCTTAGTCTATGCACAATTAATTTTAAAATAAAACTCTATTTTAAAAATAGTGTGTTTCAGAAAATATAAAATGACATCTGTATGTAAGCTTGAATTATGTTCTATTTTATCAGGCAGTTACACAGTTCTATGTATAACTGCAACTCCTAATTTTACTATGGCAAATGATTATTTTGAAGTATGTTCAGAATTTCATAGTTGTTGAGATATACTGCAGGTATCACAGTGTGGACATGAATGCCAAATCAAACCATTCAATTGAGGAGTGATGATTGAATTTGATTTTTGTTGTACAATTTATCTGCAAGAATGCTCTGGTTTCTCATTTAAGTTCTAACAGGCATTTTTTCCAGAGTCGTCAATGAATTCTGAGTGTTGGATAGATGGTGTATTCAGGGGCTGGGGGTGGGGGGGGGGTGATATCATATGATACTGCATTGCTTGGCACGCCAAAAAAAACTATTTTGAACTGGAGTTTGCCAAACTTCACAGTCTGCTTCAGCACAGGGAAGGGTCAGGCTATCTTAAGCTAAAATATAAATATAACTTCATATGGTGCAAGCCAGTAGTATCATTTAGCTACTGCCATAAGCCAGTAGAACTATTTAAACTTATTCTGACCCCATGTAATTGCAAACCTATACCCTCATTTTCCATTTCTGTGCTGCTCCATCCTTTGCCCTTATATCATTTTAAATAAGCAGTGTCCTTCCCCAGTAGAGAGACACTGGCTGGGTTAACATATCCCCACCCTTGCAATAAACTGCCGTGGGTTAATTGTTGAACAAACAACCCATAAACAAACAACAGATGGTCCAGCTCAACTTGTTCCTCACCCCATTGCTTCCGTTATGACTCCGCCCAGTATCCCAGAGACTTGTCTCCTCATCTTGGCACAAATGCAAGCCTGTTTTTGCTTGCCATGACTTTCTTTTTTGTTACCTATGATAGTTAAATGGTCCCAGCTGATTCAGATGCGGCCTGCCACTAAAAATCAGATGCCAGTTATGTGCAGAAAAAGACCATTATCTTAATGCCACACTTACAACCTTCCAGGTGCATTTGACTGACTGTTCACTTGAACTAGATGGGTCTATTGGCCTGATCTAAGAGGACTCTTCTTATGCCCAGCTTATTCCAAACTATTACTTCTTTCTCGCCATTAGTGAGGGGTTTGTTGCTACATTGGTGTTAATTCAACACTGATGCTATATTAGTTTCATAAATACTGGCTGCTTTGTCTTTCTTTTGACAGAGGCTTGCGGCAGCAAATCTGTATATGATGGGCCAGAACAGGAAGAATATTCTACTTTTGTCATCGATGACCCTCAGGAGACCTACAAGACACTAAAACAGATTGTAACAAATGTTAAAACCTTAGAGCAGGAACATGCCCAGTACAAGAGGGATAAGTTCAAGAAAACAAAATATGGAAGCCAGTAAGTATGGGATATTCTCAAACACTACTGAAACAGCAGTAGATTCCCTGCCATTATTTTTCCTAGATTAATATGTAGTTATTTTTGGATTGTTTTCTGCAATCTGTGGTTGTCATGTTTGAGTTATCTGTGATTCTTGTGAAGAGTGAGCTGTTTTAGAATGCTCTTGGTCTCTGCCGGCAGCCCATGTGGGTTCATCTGTTAATACTGTATGCATCTGCTCTTGGGTAATGAATTGCACGATACCATTGTGCATGTGCGAGTTTCATATTTGGAATGGGAAATTAGATTATTTTGTAAATTGCAGGTTCATTTAAAAACTTTCATGGTAGTTACAATGTCCTTGAAAACAAGACATTACCAGTAAGCAAGGTCTGCAAATGAACCTGTAGAGCAGCTGATTTTAGACTCCTGGCCTGCTAAATACTGCCTGCATACAGAAAAGTCTTTTTTTTTAGTGAAAAGGGCTTTGATTTCTTATGCATCTAGTCTTTGATTTCTTATGCATTACTGGCCCATGAGAGGGCTTTTTTCATGAAGTATTTCTCATGTGCACATAGTTCGCTACTCATGGCTGTTTACTCATGGCTTCACTTTGAGTCTAATCAGCTTGTTTAGAACAGAAAAACATGGCATTTCATTGTGAAAGTCAAAGAAAGGATGATTTCCTCTTTTGTATTTGCACTGTTCTGCTATACCACAGTGCCACCTAGAGGTTATATAGAAGAAAAGGCAGGAAATACACCACCTGTGGTTCCCAGATTCTTCAATAAACTGAAAGTACAACAGCTTTGTATAGAGAAGCATATAGACCCTTTGATTAAGAGCTGAAAATCATTGTTTACACACAAATATACATTATTTGCATGTAAAATGTTTCAGATTCTGTCACCAGCCTGAAATCCTGGACAGTATTTTCAGTCAATATAGATACTACTAAGGTAGATGGCCCAATTGGTATAGGGCAGTGTGCTTTTTTTCTTATACCAAATCAGGAAATCTAAATTCAGCAGCATCAAACTTCACCGTATGGTCAGTCACTGCATGATTGGTCACTGACCATTCCTAATCCAAGGTAAATTTCCTCTTTCTTCCAGTAAATGGTTTCTCTGCAGCAAAACACATTCTATATAAACACCTTGCAGACATGAGACAGTTATCATCCACTCATTCCCTAGTCACAAATTATGGATCGCTTATGGATTGTCATGGCCATCCTGTTGTACTTCTTTTTCTGAAGAGCACTTTCAGTGAGGTTTTTTTAGGACAAGGGGAGAGTGGTATTTAATTGTAAAAGCAAAGAAACTGGGTTTTTTAACGTTTGTATTAGCTCAGTTCTTCTATAACACAGTGCCACCTAGAAGTTACGTAGTAAGTAGACAAGCAGGAAAGGAAAAAATTTTCATGTAGGCTTGGATCTCAATTCTGTGACAAAACTGAAAACAGATACAGTGGATTGTACAAAATGCCTTGTGTAGAAAAGCTGTCAGTTTCTTGCCTGGTTCATACCTTACTCTCAGATCTTTCCAGTTCTTCATCCTGAACTGGACTGAACCTGACTATGGAATGCGCTCCCCAGAGAGGTCCGCCTGGCGCCGTCATTATATGTTTTTCAGCGCCAGGTCAAGACCTTTTTATTCAATCAATATTTTAATATGTTTTAATATTGAATTTTATTGTTGTATTTTATTAAATTGCAGCCAGTGTGGATGGTCGATTTATTTGTGTTGTAAGCTGTCTAGAGACGCAAGTAATTGGACGGCATACAACTTTTATAAATAAACAAACATACATCAAGTGGTTGCTTTCCAGGTCCCCTGCCCTTTTATCATCTAAAATTATATGCAAACTTTTTAGCATCTAAAGCCACCCAAATTCCAATTCTGTTAAACTCATAATTTTCTATTATATTGTCTTTCATGCAAAAGCTTTCTCCTGCAGAAGCAACTTTGGCTTCTCCCTTGAGCTTTCTTCTCATCAGCAAAATTTGGAATATATATGTCAGTCTTATTTCTGTCCTTTTCATTTTCTAGGGAACATCCTATTGGTGACAAGAGCTTCCAGAGTTACATAAGGCAGCAGTCAGAAATCTCAGCACATTCCATTTGAAGTTTGAAGAAAGTTGCAAGATGCTACTGCTGAAGGATTGAATTGAAAAAAAGAAAGCAAGAGAAAAGCCACTGGTAACAAGATACACATAACAAGTGTCAAGCTTGCAGAGACTTGCTAAGTGTTTTTTCTCTCTCCAGGGACTATTACAATAGTTGCTATGCACTTTATTCATCTGATGTTAACAGATGAAGGAATTCTGTCTTCTGGGCAGTTTTTGTCATACATGTTGTGTTAAATTTTTAAGGTGTTGCTCTGGTTTCTTGGAATCTAGTGATCAGTTCAATGATCAAGGTTTGTGGACTTCATATGGACAACTTCCACAAAACTTTTCATGGTTCAGAGCATTTTTCTAGATTTCTTATTTTTGGTTGCTGACTACTTTTGTGCTATGCCACACAGAAATTAGGGAAGGCTTTACAGCACCTGCTTTTAGTAGAAAGAAGCCTGTATAGTTTCTGGCATAATCTCCTTATACTGCAGCTTGCATTACCATTGGCAGGCTGAAAAGTAAGGTGTTTCGGTTTTAGCATCAGCAGCACAGTATTTGGTTAAGAGCTGGCTTTTAAAGAGAAATTCTAGTATTTAATGGTACTCCTTGATGCTTTTGAGATATAAAGTTGTTTCCACCAAGGCATTAAGTCAACTTCTATTTTTTGCTATAAAGTGGTGCCATGAAACCAAATAATGCAACTTAAAAGCAAATAAAGAAAATGTATATAGTGCATATGGTGATTAGTCACAGAATGGTTGGTTTGGATATCTGAATTTTATTGGATTTCTGCTGTTCTAAGGGCCACTTCAAATGCAACCCATTTTCTACATCAATAATATTTCCATGTAGGAAAAACACATTTGTACCATGAGCAGTTTGTCCTGTGCAATGAGAGCACATGCTCCCGTTTGCATGTACATAGAGTAGAAAGCGGAGGTAAAACAAGCAGGTGAAAATGGATTTACTTTGTAGCACTGTAGTCCCAAATCATTTTGAACCTCATCAGGTTCTTCCTCAGGGAAATGTTAAAAGCTAGAAACTGCTGTATTCTCTCATAATATCTATTCTAGAGAGGTTGACTGCTGCACACCAGATACCAATGCATTTCAGATAGAAATGGACAAAAGTCAAGTTGATTCTTGCACAATTATTCTCTCTACACATGGTTTGCATGACCTACACAGAAGTATTATCCATGTAGGAAAACAACATTCCATATGAAGCAGGCTGAAGGACAGAGCTGTAATTTAAGAGTTACTTGTTATGACTGGGGAATAGTGCTGCCTTAATTCTGCAAGAGAAGTATGCTGGGAGAAGGACTTGTCAGCATTATATGCATGTAGAGTCCTTAAACAAAAAGTTGTGAATGCTTTTTGTACTGAATGATGTTTAAAACTGAAATTCATGTTCTCCTAGCACTACTTGATTGTCTGGGATGAGAGCTCTGAAACAAGTGTTTCAGAAGTTGTGAAGCAAAAGAATAGTGTGTGTGTGGTGTTTGTTTTTTTAATTCATTAACACACAGCTATACCTTGCTAATATGAGCACAGATGAAGTGGAATGAGCTGTGTACCTCATAAATGCAAATAAATGTTGTTAAGGAGGAGTACTGAAGAGGCGTGGGTGTGTCTTTGTGTGTGCGTGTGTGATATATATAGATATACAGATACATATAATGGCTTAGACCCAGGCTACATTGGTGGCACTTAGGTTCTATTGAAATGTGAAAACTTGGTCATGATGACTGTCTTATATCCCATGGATTACAGTTGACCTAGGTATGACTAACAGTCTGGATCCAAACTGCTATGTGTATGCATATATCCATATAGATATTTATACACATAGGCATTATATATATTGTGTATTTCGCTGTTTAACTGTCGTAGCCCGTTTTAAAGAGTCTGCTTCAGTGCATGTTGGGCTTTGATGAAAGCCTAAGTAATGTGACAGAAGTTACGGGATGAGTGGGGACTATTTTTGGACCATAATTAATGAGCTTTCAGCTTGATGTGAAGATTCTGTGCCACAGCATAATAGTGTTTCCAAATAAATCTTTAGTGTCCTCCAGGCATTGGAAGCATAAAAGAAATATTGAAAGGAAATGTCTGCAATCCAGCCCCACAAACCTTAAATCCCATTTAAAAAGTGAGGTCTTTTATACAGTCTCTATTTTTAGCAATTACAAATTGTTGTTGTTTCTTAGCATTAGATTATATTAGAAGGCTACAAGATGAGAAATGATATCCTGTCATTTGCCAACAAGATAGTTGGGAAAGAACTGTACAAATATGCTGCGAACTGCCATTTGAATGCCAGTTTTTTTAAGTATTTGTAACTTAATAGTCTTTTAATTAAATACTAATGACTTGCAATGTGTGTTCTATTTGCCAATTAAAAGAAGTGTTTTATTTCTGAAAAGTGTGTGTGTGTGTGTTCATAACAAAAAAAATAATGTTGGGCCCTTTTCAAAATGAAAAGCTGGTGCTTATTTCATATTTCTGCATACAAAACAGCAACATAACTGTTTTCCCTGGCAATAACTTTATTAAATGTTATCTGTATTTTGAAGGGCTGCAGGCCTTAATCAATTTAGGCTGAAATCCTGTCCTAACTTACCTGGGAGTAAGGACCACTGCAGTCAGTGGGACTTAATTCCTATCATTTATGTATAGAATGGCAGTGTTAAACAGCAGATCAGTCTCTTAGGACCGCAATCTGATTCTTGCTTAGGAGTAAACATTGTTGAGCTTTGGCAGGGGGTTGCTTGCAATAGGGTAATAAACCACCTACATTAATAAAAACATATATTTAATCTTAATCCATTAATTGATTAAAAGGCAGACAATAAGTATTATTTTTGCATTTGACAGTCCCTCTTGCAGTTCTTTAGTATTCAGATGATTAAGGACACATTTCACTGCAGAAATAAGAGTGCTTAATCAATGGACTTAACCGCTTATCTCATGGCCTAGAGGTCTGAGAAATAAGAAAGGACTGACAAATAAAAGAAGGAAGGTGCCTATAAGGCCATTGAGGCCAAGCCCCTGCTCCACTTCAACATATCATCCATCCTGCTACAGGCCCACATTTTTCCACCTTAGCACAGGTGACTCAATATGATACCTCCATTATTTAAATAGATATTGATAGCTTTGAACCCACAGCAACTTAGTTTGCAATCTTAGGATTTTTTAGAAAAAGATCACTCCAGTTCCCAGCATCCCCTAGTCAGCCATGCTATAAGACTTTTTTCTGACTAAACATGATTGCCCCTTTAATTATACATAAACTTTTTATTAAACCAACACAATTCTGTTTATATTTTAATGAAAAAGTGCTAATTTTAGAATACATGAGCAGATATTAATTGTTGCTATTGTGCCTGAGTACAAGTTATTCTTTCTGTAATTTTTTATTTCAGCAAACAACGACAACATACATAAGTGCTTTCATATATTCCAGGTTGTTTCTAAATATACCACAAGGAAGAGGTGGGGTTTTAGTGAAATTTGAGTCAGATGCTTCATTTCATCCCACCTCCGGAAAAAAAAAAATACATCTTTTGTGTCCTTCCTTTTAATTTTCAAAAGCTCATTTTCTTAAAATTTCCTATGTGCAGAATTTCCTCCTTCCACCTCAGCTCTTGCATGCTGCTTGGTGCACCTCATAGCTATGGAAAAGACATGAGAGAGGAAAGATAGAACCAAAATCAAACCAGTGGATTCTAAAAAAAGAGAGCAATGACAACCTAGTCAGCCAAAGATGGAAGCAGCACTGCCCTGTAGCAGATACTCAGGTTAAGGTAGCCCTTTGCCATAACAGATCAGTAAGACATTTTTTCTCAGTCTCTTCAGTGTGGCATCTAGATGTAAAAGAACACCCCGAATTTGGTATTGAAAGTAAATTCCTGGCACGCTTAGTAAACAAATACAAAAAAAAAAAAAAGTGTAAGCCAACCTTTCAAACAATGGAACAATCTTGGGACAGGTTGTTTTTGTGATGTCATAGAAGTTTCATGGCAACACAAGTATGAAGACAGGCCACATGATTTCAAGGCAACACATTTAAGAAATACAGCAGCTAGCAAACTCATGTTATTCTCTATGTTCAGTTAAAATGAAGAACCAAAAAATGTCAAAGGCAGCAATTCCAACACAGAAGAGACGACTACATGGTGTAACTTTTGCAACAAAACTGTCACTGGGGTCCCACCAAGTTGCAGAAACAGCTAATCTTCACAAATGCAAAGGTGTCAAACTTAGTGGTCACCCTCTTACGCCTGAACTAGCTGGTCTAATAGAGAAGGCATTGCAAGAAGCTGGTAAGAAACATAATAATTTTTCATTACATTAAAAGACTCTGAAAAAGGAAGAACATTTGCGATCACCCCTTTGCTCCTGCTTTTTTTCCTTATGGTCTTAGTTCCTGTCAGCAGTTAACGTTGCCAGAGAGGCAATTTAAAAAATAATTGGCTAGGGCCTCACTTTTGTAGTTAAAAGTTTTTTTATTCCTACATTAGGTCAGATAACACTTTTCATAGGACCAGATTTGTCCCACAGTCCTTTTAGTTTTCTTTTGTAGTAAATTAGGATAAATGTAGATACTGCTATAATATCACACAACCAATATGGTTAAATGAAAACAATAGTCACTAGGGAGGAAAAAAGGATGAAGAATAGATAATACTATTTGCCATCCACTGAAATGGAAATGGGGAATCAAAACTGCATTTTGCCTCAGACTTTGATTGCTACCAGTCTTGCTTAAGGTAGTGAGAACTATCTTTCCAACAACATGTCAAATTGTTAAGCTGCCATGTTTCATTGGGAGCAACTTGTTGAGGTAAGTTGAGAATAGTTGAGTGGCATGAACATGTGTCTGCGATGCTCAGCTTTCATATTCCTAAACAACATGAATTGGCTTAATAAAATATTGTACCAGCTAAACAACTCTTCTGACAAAGCAACTGTTGGTTACAATTTGGCTTAAGTTCACAAAAAGAGTTTGTTTACCCAGAAAGAAGGCAATTGCTGAGGTGAGGTCTAAAGTAGGCCAAGCTTCCTCACTGCACCAGCTTTTTGTCAGTTGTTTTGCTTTTTTCTCCCAGCAAACATAGTTGATATGACAAAGTAAGTGAGAAAAGCGCTGTCCTTCATAGGTCTTCTATGCCATGAGGATAACAGCGGACTGATGCTATGAGGATAACAGGGTCTTAAACATGCAGCCGATGCCAAGTTTACCTTGCCTATCTCAGCAATCTGGAGCTGACTAGGATCTCATCAGTGTATAGAATTAATTTCCTCCAGCCTTTGTTACTTCCTCAGCCTTCCTTTCTCCTCAGAGTTTCAAAGTCTAGACCCTGAGCATGTTTCACAGTTGGGGAACTGAACCCCACAGATGCAAATGGACTTGTTCTCAAACACAATGCAGGTTTCATTTAAACAAAGACTTCTATATTGAGGTCACTTGCATGCTCTCTCAGGCCAGAAATGAGGGTATTCCTCTCAGAAAATGGTTCCTCTCAGAAGCACAACCCATTCAGGCTGAATCTAGCACCTATTTCATACTATCACACAGAGGAGATGATTACAAGGTGTCTCTTCAACTTGTAAGAGTTATAAAAAGTGAGACTATTTCCGCCCTTTTCTAACATTTAAGAGCATAAGACAGGACATGCTGGATCAGACCAAAGGTCCATCTGGCCCAGTGTTGTGTTCATACAGTGGCCAACCAGATGCCCACAGGAAACCTACAAGTAGGATGAGAGTACAAAAGCACCCTCCCACCCATGTTCCCCAGCAACTGATGCACACTGCCTCTGCTAGTGGAGGTGCCATAGAGTCATTAACATTAATAACCACTAATGGCCTTCTATGAATTTAGCCAATCCACTTTTAAAGCTTTCCAAATTAATAGTCATCATTATATCTTGTAATAATCTAACTATGCACTGCATGAAGAAGTGCTCCCTTTTAACTCTCCTGAATTGTCTACCAGTCAGATTCATGGAATGACCCCAGGCTCTGGTATTATGAAAAAGAAAAATGGCTCCCTATCAATTTGCTAGATTGACATTTTCATTGAGCTGTCTACCACAACCCCAAGACTGCTCTCTTGATCACTCACTTCTAGCTCAGATCCTACCAGCTTATACCTGCCTAACTGGTGTTGGAAATTTCTGCCCCAATGTGCATCATTTTACACTTCCATACATTTACCATTTTGCTCTAGATCCTTTTGAAGCTCCCTAGAATCCTTTGTTTATTTTAACCACCCTAAATATTTTGGTGTGTTAGAGTGTTCAGAACAACAGCATCCGTAGATGTTTGTTTTTTTCTTTCTAGGAATGTTTTAATAGTACAGGAGATTTATTCGGGTCCTGATGATTCCTTGTTGTTAAACAGCAATATACACGAAGAAGTTAAACAGATTACCTTTTCCCACATACATAGACAGGGAAAGAAAAATACTCCAAGGGAAAGACTGGCTACAAAGGTGGGGCCAACACGAGAGATTTGGATTCTGGAACCATGGGCCACACTTCCTGGAAGATGTACTGCTGGCAAGGGATGGGTTGCACCTCGCAAGGACTGGAAATAATGTGTTTGGCCACAGCATGATGTTTATCAGAAGGGCTTTATACTGAATCCTACAGGGGACCAAGAAGTACCCCTGGACATAGCAACAGACAAACAATTATGCACCATAACAGAAAGAGAAGCTCTAACACTGTCCAATAAAGGCAGGAAGAAAGCTAGAGCAGAAAGCATGTGGTCTTCAATGTCTGTGTACTGATACCTGGAGTATGGGAAATAAGCAGCATCAACATGAACTCTTAATACAGAAGGGTAAATATGATCTGATAGGAATAACTAAAACTTGGTGGGATGACTGCCGTGGCTGAAATTCAACAATTGAAGGATATAACCTTTTCAGGTAGAACAGAAAAAACAGAAAGGGAGGTGGAGTCACACTGTATGTTAAAGATACAAATCTCTGCACAGAAATACAGGAGGATGCGCTTAGTAGCCCCATCAAGAAATGTCACTTCCAAATCCTGTGAAGTACTAGTTCCCCTATATTCAGCACTAGTCAGAGCTCATCTGGAGTGCTGCAGTACGCCACTGCTTGATCTGGTGTCCTCAGATGTTTTGGACAACCCCTACCAACCCCACACAGAATGCAAATGGCCAGGAAGGATGGGAATTGCAGGCTGGGGAAAGGCAGAGCTAGAAGAACCATGCAAGCTTGGCCAAACCATTCAAGAGGTTTCTTCATTCCTTCTTCACAGCCATCTGTGGTCAATAACAAATTCCTTTCCTCATAACTATACAGATGCTAGGCTTCAATAATAGTGATGTCTAGCTTTCAGCATTACTCAGGCCAAACAACATGTGATGCTTACTGTATTAGCTGGG